GCCCGGCCCCGGCGCTGCCCGACCCATCGCCGCGGTATCGCTGCTGCCCCAGCCCCTCCGCAGCAGGCTGGTTGTTGGCAGGACAGGGCTGAGGGCAGCAGCCCTCCTGCAGATGAGAAGAATGGCATCAAATCATGATTTGTGCTGTGTTTGCAGGCCTGTGCGTTGGACAAATGCTGCACTCCCCAGTGTACCTTCAGAGAAGGAGTGAATTGCACCGTGGGATTATGTTGTGCAAATTGCCAGGTAAGGTGGGTTCATAATTAGCAGAAGTTAAGGCCATTTTTAAACCTTGGGGCAGGAGCAGTTTCTCCAGCAGCACTGTGAACCAGCTCTCTGGTTTTGCTTGTACGGGCATCTACAAAAAAACTTTGTGCTGCATTTTGTCTCCTCTGTAATGAATGTCAGGTAAGGCACGTTTTTGTAATTGGCACAAACAAGATCATGGTTTGGTTTTGGAGAAATAGTATGTCCCCATGCTGAGGGATGGAGAGAAACTTCCTGCTGTGCAATCAGAAAGGTTCCCGGGGTTGGGCTTTCCAGCTCTGAAACCCCTGGGAAGAATATTTCTTGGGAAGACTGTTTTGGGTGGTGTAATGTGTGTGGTGAGCCGAGTGCCACAGAGGGGGGCCCGAGGGACCAGGGACGTGTCAGGACAGTGTCAGGAGGGGCTGTGTGGGGCTGGTGGGTGTGCAGGGCTGGGGGAAGAAAGAGCCCTCTCTGCCTCCTCTGCCAGTTCAAGCCCAAGAACGCCCTGTGCCGCCCCGCGGCCGACCTGCACTGTGACCTGCCCGAGTTCTGCAACGGCTCCTCGGCGTCCTGCCCCCCCGACCTGTACGTGCAGGACGGGCACAACTGTGAGCACAGCAGCGGGTACTGCTACCAGGGACGCTGCCGCTCTCCAGACCTGCAGTGCCGGCAGCTGTGCGGCAAAGGTACCGGGATGCTCTGCTGTCACCCGTGCCAAGGACGGCTGGGCTAGGGCACAAGGTGGCCACCTGGCACAGTGGTGCCCACCTTCTCGTGTGAAACTGGGGAAGTTGGGAACTGCTGGGAGTAGTAGGTGTGGGGAAGGGCAGAGGGGACTGCTTGCAGCAAGGGGAACAGGAGGGGCCATCAGAAGGGGACTGGTTCCACAGGGACTTCAGGCTGGTACAGCCAGACACACACACCTACCTGCCTCAGAGAGATTGGGTTAGAGACACAACCAGGATGTGTGGGAAGTGTTTTGGGTTGGTCAGGCTGTTCTACCGACTGTGCAGTCTGTCCCACAACCTGAACAGAGGTGGCTAGTGGTAGGACTAAAGCAGTAGCCAAGTATTCCTCTGATAGAGGCCAGAACTGGTAAGTGTTGGAAGCAACAGAGGTGTCTTATTCTGTATTACCCCCCATGGTAACCAGTATGATTTCTAAACTTCTAGGTTCAAGAAATGCTCCTTTGATCTGTTATCAAGAAGTCAACATGCAAGGGGATAGGTTTGGCCACTGTGGCCGCCACCCATCACGTGGATATCAGCGCTGTAGCTGGGAGTAGGTATCATGGGAATGCAAAGTGTTCATTTGGGAATATATATTTAATTTCTGCTTCCCTTTACTGGTGATGCCAAGTACTAATCTGTGAGAAGGTTGCGTTGGTATAGTTTTCTTTTGCTGCGCAAAATTGACTTGCAGCGTTGGCTCTGGCATTGAGAAACTGGTGGCATCTGAAGGCAACTGCAACACACCCCTAATTGTGTGAATGTTCAGTGATCTGATGGTTTGTAGGACAGCTTCTCTCCTGCTATCAAGGATTCAGGTCTTCTGAAATCTCATGTGCTTAGGGTTTTGTGTCCATCCCCCTCCCTGAGCTATGCACCTCAACATCCCCAGCACTCTGATCAATCAGATGCTGTATGTTCTGTTCTCATTTGTTGTGCTAACAAATTTTTTAGGTCTGTGGGCTGTGGAAAGTTAGTATGTTCATACCCGGGTGCTGTTCCCTTCACCAAAGCCAAGGTTGCTGTAATCTATGTTCGAGTGGCAGACCATCTGTGCCTGTCTTTCGATTTTATGCAAGGACCCAAGGTGCAAGATCCTCTCCTGATGAAAGATGGCACAAAATGTGGCCATGAGATGGTAAGGAATATTGCACAAGCATCTGGAAAAGGCATGTAATTGTCACACTGTAACACTTTTAGAAATAGCTGTTGTTTTGCAGTATGAGTTAAAGGTGCTCTGTAGTTAATGATTTTAATAATCACCTGTGCTGTTGACTTTTGATCATTCTTTAGGGCTAGGAATCCTTTGCAGAGAACTTTTCCAGCCTCAATAATTCTGTGATTCTGTAAGGAGTGATAAAGGAGTGCCCAGAAGGACTTTTTTCTTTTTGGTCTTTCAGGTTTGTATGAATGGTACCTGCCACCCACATTCCATTTTGAACTATGACTGCAACGTACAGAAAAAATGCCATGGGCATGGAGTAAGTAACAGCAGTGCAGCTGGGTTAGTGCTACTGGTTTGATGAATATTGCTGGAGAAGAGAGAATGGTTCTGGTAAAAAGACCCTCGGGGCTTGTCTGAGAATTGCCCAGACCCGTGTTTTGGGCTAATGCTTGTTCTCTGAAATCATCACTCTGTAATGAGTTACTGTGGGAGAAATTAAGTAGAGAACTTAACTTACTTCCTGTCCCAAGTGAAAAATAAGTGAGATAAAGGGACTTGGAGTATTTGCTTGTCTAGATTAGCAGAAAACTGGAAAAAGAGTATCTAGAGAGGAGTTAACTGCACGTAATTGAATTGGTGTTGGAAGCAATCAGTGTAGCTGTGCAAGGAGAGAGGCAGAGTGATGAGGGGCAGAATGGGAGTGGGGGGATAGTGAGGGGACTCACACAGGGGGGTCCTGGGGTGCTGGCAGGCTGCCGTGCTGTGGGGGGGTGCAGGGGCAGGGGGAAGGCAGCAGTCCCAGTGGAGGTGGAGCGCTGCTCCTCAGCAGGGTTTACACTGAGGGGTGTTCTCTGCCTCCCCCGGCATGGGCAGGTGTGCAACAACAAGAAGAACTGCCACTGCCTGCCGGGCTGGAGCCCCCCTTCGTGTGAGACCCGAGGGTCCTCCGTGGGCGGCAGCATCAACAGCCCGCCGGACGCAGGTGAGTGCTCCCAGCTTGAGCCACAGCCCCCCCCATCTCCCTCCTCTGAGCTTGTCCTCTACCTTTGCATCTCTCCCTAGATGATGTCACCGAACAGTCTCTCCTGGTCGTGTTGAAGAACTCGCTGCTCCTGAGCTTCAGCAGTGTCTTCCTGATCCTGCTGTGTGGCGGCGGCGCCGTTGCAAAGTGGAGCTGGCTGAAAAAATACTGTGCAAGGAGGGATTCACAAGCAGAGAGGTAAGTTGATATTAGCTAATGCAAATCCTTTGTTCTGGGTGTGGGAGACAGGCAGGGATTTGTGGGAGCAAGGCAGGAAAAGTGGTGCCTGGGGAACAGTAACTGTTGGTAAACTTGGAACTGTTGGTAAACTTGGAACTGATTGTTGGTCATCAGGGGAAGAAATGGGCAAACAGGTGTCTGAAATATACAAATGTTGGAGAAGCAAAACTAAGGGTGGATTTCCTGGGACCAAGTATGCTGCCTGTGTGCAAGAGCCAGAGGAAACAGGTTTTCTGTTTGCTAATTTCTGGGAGAAGGTAATTGTGAAAGGGGTAAAGTAGGATACAGGAGAAGCTGCGGATCTGAATAAAAACGGGGAGTAGCAGCTCAGTCTGTGCTGTGGATGAGCAGAGTGGGAGGGAGATGGAACTTGGATGAGCAGGGAAGCAGGGCTGGCCCAGGACAGGGAGGACATCAGGGCTGGGGGGCCAGGGCTGAGGCACCAGTCTGGTTCTCCCCACAGCTCCGAGGAGGGCGGTAACGTCCGGGAGACAGAGTTGGAGTCAGACAGGGAGTCAAGCCTGGAGCTGCAGAAAGCGCAGAAGCCGCAGAACAAGCCGTAATAAAGGTGTTGGGTGGAGCCACGAGTCTGTGCCTCAATGCAGGGGACAACGGGGCTGCCACCAGGTTTGTCTGTCCAGTAGATCTGTCTGTCCACTGGGACGGAGGCACCTCTACCATCATCACACCAGAACTGCCTGGGGCAAAACACCCGAGGAGCCAAGCACTGTGCTGAGGCTGCAGGGAGAGCAGCAGAGGTACAGACAGGCTGTGCAGCCCTGTGCTCCCTGCAGTGCCCTCACACCTTCGCCCCACAGCAGTGCCCATCTTGCTGCCTGTGCCCCCCAGCCCTTCCCCTCCCCTGCCCCCTGGTATCCCCAGCGCCCGCAGCACTGGCCATGCTGATTTTCCCTTGGGAAACCACTGTTCTGGCAGGCCCTGCTCAGAGCATCCTGGCAAGGCCCCCTGGCAAGGGTGGACCCCTGAGGCCACCCCAGTGGTGGCAGAGGAAGCCTGACTCATCAGAGCAGGTCTTGTGCCAGGAACCCCCCGGTGCCGGGCACCCCTCTCTCCATTCTGCCTGTGGTGTGGGCCTCACCAGCATTCACCACCCAGCAGGCAGGGAGTTCTGTTCCTCTGCATCTCAACTAGGTCAGAAACCCACAGACCAAGGTCTAATTGACGTCTGTGCATCACCGTTCACCCTGCCCCCCTGGGAGGGAGTGCATGCAGCCACAGGGAG